GCTTGGTTTGAAATGCAACCGAGAACACATTAACCTAATAGAGATTTTTCGGCCATGAGGTCCCACTTATGGGTTTACGGCCCAAAAGGGTAAAGGAAAGGGTTCTCGGCCCAAATAGGGTTAAGTGTAAAAGTTTTCGGCCCATGTTAGGGCCCATTAATAGTTTTCGGCCTTGGAAGGCCCAATAAGAGCTCCAATAGTGATTTACGATTCATAAGAATCTAAGAAGAGGTTCACGACCCAATAAGGCCCACTAAGTGACTTATGGCCCACACCAGTGTTAATTAATCAATTTCGTCCCAACTAGGGCTTAATTGTGGGTTCTTGGCCCAAAAGAACCAAGGTGAGAGGTTACCAGCCCAATATGCCCAATAAGGGAGTTTTGATCCACTAAGAGGTTTGACCCGAGAAATCAAAGTCGAAACCCAAAGTTAAGTGAATATAGTTTATGGGATTAGGTTTTTGGACTTACACAAGGAAGTTTCGAAACCCAATAAGGGATTTTTGATCCACTAAGAGGTTTGACCCGAGAAATCAAAGTCGAAACCCAAAGTTAAGTGAATATAGTTTATTGGATTAGGTTTTTGGACTTACACAAGGAAGTTTTGATCTGAATTGTCATTTTGGATTGAGTGAACTTGTATACGTTAAGACTTAACTTACATCAAAATTAGGGTTACAAGGTTACACCAGGAGTTATCTACACATGGACAGAATTTCCTAGCCCTAAAATTCTAGTTGTGACAATGGATTTTAGGGAGGAAATTAGTCAACTGGGAAATGTAAAGGGAAGGTGTGAGGGTGGGGTCTAGGGATGGGGTGGCTTCTGGAAGATTGGAACCATATGTTCTTTGCTTGTCATTTGGCTAGGGATCTCCATTTGTAGGCCCTTAGATGGTGAGGCTTTGATAATTGTACATTTTCTTATTATGAAGACTAGAAGCTATAGTTTTCTTCAATTTGTTGCTCAGGGTTGATTAAGTACTAGTTGAAGGGCATCTTTTATTCGCTATGGTGGCACATTTGGAATTACATGAATGCTCAGGGTTGATTAAGTACTAGTTGAAGGGTGTCTTTTATTCGCTTTGGTGGTACATTTGGAATTACAGGAATGCTCGGGTCTTGGCTTCCTTCCGTGGAAGTGTCACACCCCAAAACCGATAACGACGGAATACGTTTCAGGGTGGAGGACGTAGTGTACGGTATCATCACAATTGCATAATAGTAAAAGCAAGAAACATACAACCATTTCATTTACATAGTGAGTGTATTTACAAGTGTGTTTTGTAATGTTCAACAAACACCAAAAGTAAACAAAAATAAGAGATGGGTCTTGCATGCTCCATCTTCTCCAAAAATGCTGCAGTCGTACCTGTCTATCGTTGGCCTGAAGATACAAGTTATTTTGAAAAGAATATTAGCATAAAGCTAGTGAGTTCATAAGAGTTTAGTGTGAGTTCTTATATAAAAAGCATCAGAACCGATAGTATGAAAGCTGAAGTTTACAGTCATAAGTAGTAGTAAAACCCAGAAAATCCTATATTTTCCAGAAATGTATAGTAAGTGAAAACCGTTAAAAAATATGACATGTTCATCTTTGAAAACCATTTATCGTGGAAGTATAATAATGACTCACCAATAAGTAAAGAAATATGGTAAGTTATACTTGAAGTAAATAATAGTGGTGCAGCTTCCTTTAGTATTAGATACTTATTTACTTCGGGATATTAACTTTATCTTTTGTTTAGTATTTTAGTGCGGTTATAGTGTATTTCTTGGATGTTACCAATAGTGTGAGTAATGGCGGACCCCATGACCTTCCCGGTCATGTACAGTGTAGTGGAGTAAAGGCATCCCTGGACCTGTGCGGCTCGGACTGAAATTAACAGTCAGGATGTAATAGCGTCTACACCGTATAGATCTATACATATAGTGTCGTCCTCCTATCGGAAAACTTCGGGCGTAGTGCCTAGCGAATAGAGTATCTTGTAGTGGGTTAATGAGTTATCTCATAATTAGTACTTTCTCTTGTATTATAGTGTAGTAGTCTTTTGTATAACTCGTATTGTATTCTCTTATTAGTGTATAGTTCATAATAGAGAGAATTATGGTAGTGTAGAGTAGTAGTTAAAACGAGTGATAGAGACCTTAACTATACCTATTATAGTTAACTTAGTGTGTGTGGTTCTAGTCAGGTTAGTGATTTAGGCATCTAATGAAATAAGAAATACTCGTAATCCGTACTAATATACGAGATATATAACTAAGAAATCAACGACAGTCGGACGGATAACCACTACCCTAAGCCCACAATCAAACAAGAATAGGAAATAAGGCGAGCTATCGGTCCTAAGTCCTTCAAGTCTTACTTATATAAATATATCAGTGTGGTTACATTTTATAAGGAGATTTATTAAATAAAAGTATTGTGCAAAAGAAAACATTTAAAACTTGTTTGTTTATCCAAAATAGTTTTGAAAACAATTGATTTATTTATAAGGCATAGTGATAAATCATATGTGATTTGAACTACGGGTAATGAATCACATGTGATTAATTCTATAACATGAGTAATTGTCTTGTATAACTTTTCATCAACATGTATAATCAACTTGTACCCCCCCCCCTAAAACATATAAAACATTTGAAAGGTTCATTAAAGGGGTATGAACTCACCTGAATTCGCGTAAATCGGGTGAATCGAGTAAATCGGGTAAAAGTGTCGGTTGAGCGTTTTGTTCCAATTAATGACTTGTGCACCTTTTAGGACCCTAATGTCATATGAAATATGTATTCTACAAGAAATTAATCATTTTATGCTTTCCATTTAAGTATTTAGGTATTCTAGCATCAATTCGGGGTTTTATGGCCTAGAAGGGGTTCCCGGGAGTGGTACAAGGCCATGAGGGGTTTACAGGGAAGTCCATGAGTTCAATCCCTTGGAGTTTACGGCCCAAAGGCCACTCCTTGGGAGTTTACGGTCGTAAGACCCCTAGGCTTGGCCGTAAACTCAAGTGGTCCTCCAAAATTGCAAGTTAAGGCCTTATTTCACTTTCCTAATTTTCTAGCAAGTGTTTTGAACTAATTTGGAGGGTTTAAACCCTCATTTAGGGACATTTTGGGGAGTTTACGGACAAGGCTTGTGCTTAGGCCGTAAACTCCATTTTGTTCTTCAAAATGAGATGTTTAATGGTACAACACACTTCCATTCCCCTTAGATAAATGCTAGATGACCTTAGGTGAAGTTTTAGGGGCATTTTGGCACATTTATTGGGTGTTTACGGCCTAAGCATAAGCTTGGCCGTAAACTCCTCTTTTTGCCTCTAAATGGTGTTGTTTGATGTACTAAAACATTTCCAAGGTTCATAGCTAATTTACTCCATGCCCTAGATGATTTTTTGAGACTTAAATCCAAGGTTTTTGGGTGTTTACGGCCTAAGCATAAGCTTGGGCCGTAAACTCCTTTTTAGGCCTCAAATTCTTATGTTTTAATGTCCAAACTCCCCTAGGTAAATCCCTTAATTAGTATATAAGCTTAAAGGAAGGAACAACGAGGCTTTTGGCAAAGTTTTAGGTGTTTACGGCCTAAGGGGCTTCCTAGGCCGTAAACTCCTTTTTGTCCCCTAAATTATTTGATTTTTGGCCTCTAAATGTTATGGACAATGTTTAGAACAAGATAGGGAAGAAACCCTTATGTTTGGAAGCCGGAATTCGCGGATTTGGAGTCGGTTTCGGGTCTAGAGAGAGAAAGTAGTGAGAGAGAGTGAAGAAGTGGTAAAAAGGCTTAAAAGTAGTGTTCATTTGTTTATATATGTCTCGGGTATTGCACCCGGTACACGGCTACCCGATGCTAAAGTTTAACGGGGTTAAAACTTTTTACCCGGGTGAAGTGGTTGAAAAGTAATATAACTCTATTTAGTTAAACGGGGTTAACATTTACAAGTATAATTACTTATGATAATATCGGGACATATAAATAACTAGATATTTGTTTGTTGACGACTCCAACCATTACCGAGAATAACATATAGTGACGCATTCCGTTAGTGAAGATGGGATTTGTAACGGCAATATATTTGGGGTTGTCACATCAAGGTAGTTGTATTTGACAATGTTGTCACTCAAACATTCTTTTAGTGTAAAAGTAGGTCTAAAAAAACTTTAATCTAGGTTGGTTAGCTTCAAAACCTCCAACTTTCTATTTCTTCTACATGACTTGCTTGTTTTGGTAGCTCCTTGCTAGTTTGTTTTATTTTTTTTTTAATAAAATTCAGCCGTTCTAAAAAAATCATTTCAATTGTATTCTACATTTAATTTTGTTTGTTGTAGTGATAATAAGTTCATTGCAATTTTTTATAGCTAGTAAGTTCATTGTTATTTAATTTTTTTATAATAAAGTTAATTGCTATATTTTAATTGATATTAAGTTCATTGCTATTATAATCATACATGGAAATTGTTCGATATAAAGTTCATTATTGTTTGTACATCAATTTGAATTCCCATAATAAATTATCTAGTCATAACCCATACAATATAGCCTTGCAACAGTTCTTATGTAAACAAACCTAATTTTTGAAAGGGTAAATTACACCATTCGTCCCTCGTGCATATGCCAAAAATCATGTTTAGTCCCTATTTTCAAAAATTAACTCGGACCGTCCCTCGGTTTGTTTTTTCTTGCACACTTAGTCCCTATTGACATGAAATGACTTTTTTACCCTTGATAATTTCTTTTTTCTTTTACTTTTGTTTCCTTATCAATTTTAAATTAAAAACAATGAAAAAAACAAACTATCCCAACCCCTCATTACGTCACTTTCCTTCTCCTCTGTTCTGACACCTCTTTCACATACTAACACCATTGAACCAAACCACCATCACCACCTTACACCTCTTGCTACCGCCTTCATTCACCCTTAAATTACATTCGCTTATGTTTAAAGTGTCACCTTTACACCTGACTTCGTCCTCCAATACTACCACTGATCACTGAAAACATGTTTGAAACTCCGAAGACGATTTCCGATGGTGGTGTACAGGTGAAGGAGATCGATGACTTCCGAGAAAGAAGATCCACTCAGCCACATTCTCCTTTCTTGTTCAAATATGCTGACGGCAACACATCTGCAAATCGGGTTTGTAACTCTCAAGACCTAAGCGCAAAGCAATGCAAATTGGGCTCCATCTCCGACGAAAACATGGTGACGAATAACAGTTAGTGACGAAGACGAAGGTTTTCCATCAAACACAAGTAGATCTGAGATGATGTAAATCTAATACAACGAATGCATAGATCCACTTGTGGATTTGCTGATTCTGACAGCGATTGCGAAGGTTTTGAACGGAAATTCGCATTGTAGAGGCGAAGGTGGCGGATTGGAGGCCAGATGTACCGCCGGTGGCCAGATTTTGACATATCAGGGAGGTACTTGTTGCCGGTGTTTGTGTGGTGTTCTTCAGGTTTACAGGGAAAAGGGGTGGGTGAGCTGAAGGTAAAGGACGAAGGGGTGGAAGTGAGACCCAATTTCCTTTTAAATTAAAAATAATAGTAAATATTATTAGATTAATTGAAAAATAAATACATAAGGGCATTATGGTCATTTTAAATCTGGAATGGACTAAAAGCGCAACAAATTCGTCTTTCAGGGATGAAGCGTGCAAGTATAAAACAAACGAGGGATGGTCCGGGTTAATTTTTGAAAATAGGGATCAAACGTGCTTTCTGGCACTTACATGAGGGATGATTGGTGTAATTTACCCTTTTTGAAAAATGGGTGCCATGCCTATAATCATCTCGTAATTTGTGCCTCATATCCTTAGAACATTATTGTATTCGCAAAATAGGGTCATATAATTTAGGGGTGTAAGTGAGCCAAGTTGCTCGATAACTACTTGGGATCGACTCCTTAAAAGCTCGACTCAAGATTGAATTAAACGAGCCTGAGCCAAGCTCAATACTAAATATGAGGCTCATTTATTAAATAAACGGGAGCCAAGCTTTGTCACACCCCAAAACCAGGAACGGCGGAAACGTTCTGGGGCGGAGGACGTCATGTACAGTATCACAACAATGAAAAGTAATAAACAAGCAACAACATCATCCATTGCATTAATAATATAATTTTAATACAAGTGTGTTCTGTTATGTCTAATAGACACTAAAGTATAAATCAAAATAAAAGATGAGTATTGAACGAGCTCCATCTTCTCTAAACCTTGCATCTGTACCTATCTACAGTTGACCTGAGGATACAAGTTATTTTGAAAGAGAGTATCAGCTTTAAAGTTGGTGAGATCATAAGCATTTTAGTGTCTTAATTTGCATGTAAGTACTTGTATGTACTTGAAATGTAAGTATTTGTACGTATATGAAATGTAAGTATGAAAACGTTTTGAACATCCTAGAAAACCCTATGCTTCCTACTGAGGGTAGCCCTCTACCGAGGCATCTAGTATATGTGTGTGTGTCTCTTGTAAGAGTGTGTATTTTCCCAAATCTGACTATCATTAACCAAAAATATAGTTTCTACATTACCGTGCATCGTGTGAATGTTCACGAAGTGAATGTAATGGGAAAATGAAATGGTACTATGGTGTAGTATCAAATAACTACAACCGTACTAACTACCTTAAATCTATTGTAATTTAAAGTAACATGTGATCGACCTGTATCCTGCTACCGACTCTAGTAAAACGACGATGTAAGACGACGTAAGAAATGACATTTGGCACCCGTAGACTTGCAAGTCCCACTATAGCGAGCAACAAGGTGTAGGATAGTCAATCCAGTATAGATCTATACGCAAACTCATACGCTCCCCAATTAAGGAGATTCGGGATACAAAAACGGTAATGGCAGGAAGTGTCATGACCCGTCTAATGGTCCACATAACTGCATGAATGTACATGTAATGAATGTGCTAACTGTAAAGTGTACTCTTTCTCTGTCTAGCATGTATGTACTGAAATGCTCTACATGTGCTAGCTGTAATGTATGTTCTCTCTCTGTCTAGCATGTATAGTAATGTACTGTGTGTACTAGTTGTAATGTATGTTCTCTCTCTATCTAGCATGTATAGTAATGTACTGTGTGTACTAGCTGTAATGCATGTTCTCTCTTTGTCTAGCATGTATAGTAATGTACTGTGTGTACTAGATGTAATGTATGTTCTCTCTCTGTCTAGCATGTATAGTAAGGTACTGTGTGTACTAGCTGTAATGTATGTTCTCTCTCTGTCTAGCATGTATACACTCATGAATGAACTGACTCGTGGTATGTTTCCGCATTCTAGTAAACGTATTAGTATCTTCCTAAACTACCCGTATGGTAGCTTACTAGTAATATAACTGGTACGTATGAACATGGAAGTATACCCTTGCTACCCAAGGGTATTGAACTGATTGGAAGAACCTTTATGACTATATTTGTACACATGATACATAACTAATATTTAAATGACCTTCGGACGGATACCTGATACCCACTAGACCACATCCCAACGCTGAAAAGAAAATAGAGCGGATAGCCTTCCTAAGTCCTTTAAACATTTCTTATATAAATATACATATATAGGCATGCAATTGACAATATAAAATCATAAAATAAGTTTTGTAACACCTTTGAACATGATTACTATCTAAGTAAAGGTCGACTTGATGTCAACCTATAAAATGGATTGAAAGTATTTGTTTGATAAAGCAGTCTAAGTATAAAGAAACATTTGTTTGAAACACAATTGTAAATGAGTTTAAAATGAAACATATTGTGTATAAAGAACATTTTAATAAGGAGTTTTAAACATATAAAACATTTATGAAAATCATTTGAAAAAAACTGTTTGGTAAAACAGTTAATGAGTAGTAAATCATTTGAATGCTGCTTATCAATCACATGTGATTGATATAATAACTAGCATGATTCTACTTGTATCCCCCCCCCCCCAATAAAACATTTAAAAACATTTAAAACATTGCTTAAGGGGTATGAACTCACCTGTAGCAAGTGGTTGTGATTGAACGGACTGTATCGGATGCTAGGTGTCAAGTGAAGACTTGGACACACACAATGATCCTAATAACATATGAAGACATATGTGTATAAATAATAAGTGATTTTCACTAATTAAACATGTACAAACATCCTATTGCGAGGAAAACACTTTGGTCAAGTGCTAGGATGCTATCGGGTTGCAACAAAGGAGTGTAAGGCTTTGTAAGTGAGTTTATGGTCCATTGACCATACTTGTTGGAGTTTACGGCCCAGGGGAGTTTACTCCTGGCCGTAAACTCTCAAATGGGTCCCCAAATGAAGCGTAAAGCTATGATTTCTTGAGTGGTTAAGTGTTCCAAGGCGTAAACAAAAGGATAGGTGAGTTTAAGGTCCAAGAATGACCTTAACTTGAGTTTGCGGCCCAAGTACCACTTCCCCATGAGTTTACAGCCGTAAACTCATGGTAGGAAGTACCATTTGATGTTTTGAGGTTCCTAGCTCATTGGGGATCGGTTCTATGTTAAGTTCTAGCCATGTAGGAGCATTAGGGGCACAATATCACCCCCTTTATAGAGTTTACAGCCAAAGGACCAATCCTTATGAGTTTACTATCGTAAACTCTATGGGAACATGGTTTCATGGATGCTTAAGGTCCTTAACACTTCAAGGATATGATCTAAGTTGGGTTCTAGGCATAAGGAAGGAGTTAGGGTGCAATTTGCCCCCTTATAGGGGTTTACGGCCCAAGAACATGTCTTGGCCGTAAACTCCTTTTTTCTTGTGTTTCCTTATGATTTCTAGGCTATAAACATGTTAAACCTAGTGTACAACGAGTTAGAACAAGAGCACTTGCGATCTAGAAGCTTGAATGGTTGTTTTTGGCCAAGAACACTAGTGTGTGTTCTTGGTGTTCTTGGTGTAACTTGAAAATCTACAAAACAGAATTATTTCATGGATGAAATCATGTAAGATCACTAGATCATCTAAGATATCAACTAGTTAGGGCAAGATACTTACGAGTTTTGAAGATTGGGGATGAAGATCAGGATGATACTTGAGAGGATTTAGGCCAAGGAAATGAAAGAAATGAACAAATGACCCTCATCTTCACCATATAAGATGATGTTACGGCCCACATGGAGTTTACAGCTGTAAACTCCCATGTGGTGGCCGTGAACTCACGGCTAATTGTGCTAAAAGGCAACAACAATGAGTTTGACTTTCAAAGAAGTGTTAGGCTTAACTGGATGGAAAAATTTCGGGTTGTCATATTATCCCCCTGTTAGAGGGAATTTCGTCCCAAAATTAGAATTTAGGTAAGGAAGTAGGTATGAATGATCGAGTCATGAGGTGGAAACTTCCTAATCGATTGGTTCTTGCACTCATAAGTGAATTCAGGTCCTTGGTTGGTATCCCAACGAACCTTCACTAAAGGGAGGCGGCTATGAATCGTTCGCATGACCTCCCGGTCCATGGTCACTACAGTTCCTCCACGTAGGTGAGGCTCTTGTGGAACTCGATCTCTTCGAGTGGGATTTCAAGAGTCTCATCAAATTGATACTTTTTACAAGTTTGAGACGTGAAGGGCAGAATGTACGTTACTAAGTTCGCGGAGTAAGTCTAGTCTGCAAGATACAGGACCGATTCCGATAAGAATCTCGAAGGTCCAGACTATCTTGGATTTAGCTTTCCACGTGTTACGAAGCGTATTAAGCCATTCCCAGAGTGAGACTTCCTAAAGAATTTGGTCTCTCACTTGGAATTCCAAGGTTTCTTTCTCTTGCTTAACTTCCCAGTCAAGGGCCACCTCCTGCCGGGTCAAAGTCGTAAGGGTTTCTATAATTTGCGAGGAGTTCTAAATGAACTATGATACTAGGTTTGCAAGACCTAGAATTTGGCGAGTTTCTGTCGGCGTCTTCGGTACCGACAAATTCTCAACGGTTTTGATAAATTGAAAGAGTACTCAAGAATTCCCACATCACTAATAGTGTGTCTTAGGAATCCGACTCTTCAATTCCAAAACTCGTGATTAGAGAACTTCGTGAAAGTTCTTCTGAGGGTAATGTTTCCATGGATTCCTTCTTACTACGAGGGTAGATAAGTAAGTCATTACCAAAAGAATGATGAACTGATCCTAGTAAGAATGGCGTACCCTTTTAATTAAGCTCATGAATACTATGGGCGTATTGGTCCTATCTGAGGGGTATCACTACGGACTCGAAGTGTACGCATCAAGTTCGGAAAGTAGTCTTCGAGACATCCTTCGCTAACACTCGAAACTGTTGATATTCGGATCTCGATCTATTTCTGAAAGGTAACTCGTTCCTTGCGTTTGCTCAACTGATTCATCTATGCGAGGCAGAGGTAACGATTTCTAATGGAAATCTTGACGGAGTCCTCGATAGCCGAGGTACATATGATGCAATCCGTCGACTTCTGGAAGAATAAGACCGGAGCTCTTCGGGGTGAGAAGCATGGTCTTCCAAATCTATTACTGAGT